TCAGTTCTTCTCAAATTATAAACGTATACAAATGTGTCATATGATTGTGTTAAAGAAAAAAAACAACACTTGACCAACTTCGCACGGCAGTTTCGAGTTATATCAGTTGCTTGTATCCTTTTACAGAGTTGCACGATGTTGGAGATTTCGAATTCTCTAGATTACTGGTATTTTATGTAACTGGAAACCAAAACGTACATGAAAATATAATAATAAAACCATCACCTTTGAAGCGAGTAAACACTTCTATTCATTTAATTTACTGGTTACTATTAGCAATACAGCACGTTTTTTTTTTTAATGTTGTTGTTTAATTGCTTATAACATAGACGTTCGTGAGTGGAGATTTTAAAATAAGTGGAACCTTGACAACAATAATAGTCGAACTTAACAAAAGTAGGCTTAACTATTCTTTGATAGTTACTGGGGAAAAAACTAGAATCATCAACACAGACAAATTTTGGAAGACGAGAAAATTAAAGAATCATTTTATATTAACACAATTAAACCTTCACTAAATACAGAGATTCCGGATTAGAGGTGAGCAACCTGTAGCTACCATTGGTTGAATCCAAAGGAAATCTCTCCTACAATCAGAAACAGGGATAAAACAACCAATCATAACACGCTCTCCACCAGAATACTATAAAGATCGGCAAAACCTTACACACACTGACCAGCATTCGAACACCCTTGGTGATTAAGTTTTTCTCTGAACTATTAATTTTACACCAAAATAACTGCCATAGACAAACACTGACCTGAAGACTTTCGAAACGTCGTCCTCTACACTTGTGTCTCTACAACAGGCAGTTGCCGTCCATTCTACAAAGTTTCATAGGCTTAACCAATTTGCACTCGCCCATTTAGAGCTGATATTCAATACGAACGACTTTTCCCCGTTCTTTCTTGATGCAATGATTGTTGGTGATTCTAGCTACCACTATCATAATCCATAAATTTTGTGTAATTTTCAAAGAGAAGTCAAAAAGTCATATTTCGAAATGGTTTTGAAAACTTACAAATACTGAGTCTCAAAGAATATTTACATTAAATTATTCCCACTTTCTTTTATTGTTTTAAAGCTTTGTTAAATATAGAATTAAACGAACATATAAACCACATTTACTTCTATATACAAGTCTAGTTTCGACTTTTCCTGTTTGAGGTCACTGCAATCGTAAAAGACCAGTAGCAAGCCCTGTAGATAGCGGTATTTGTTCAAGAGGTTTGTTTGTTGTTAAGCGCAAAACTACACAATGGGCTATCTTGCTGTACCAACCACGGGTATCGAAACCCGGTTTTTTTATCGTTATAAGCCTTCAGACTTACCGCTGAGTTACTTGGGGGTTCTTCTTGTTCACGAGGAGAAATATTTCTATATTGACCATATACGAAGTTTCATGTTTACCGGTGTGTTTTTCCACAGGGTAAAATGTTATTGCTTCTAAGAGGGGTCATTTTTTTTAGATTATGACCACATGCTGAGATTCAAACTTACGCACATCAGGGACTGTGCATTTTATGATATGCAGTATTAGTATAGTAGAAAGTTGTTCTGGAAATGGTACCAGGACAGTGAAAATATGTAATTTCTCCAAAGCTGCTAGATGTATGAAAAAACTGTAACTAGAGGGCACTCGGTAGAGCGCATACCTCAGCCATGCAGCATTGGTAATAAAATACGAAAATGTGTCCGTCTTTATCAACGGTCACGGACCATTTTAAGGAGGACAATGAGGAATAATATTCTATACAAGTCCATCAAGTTTCATCAAAATCCGATCATTTTTGACTGAGTTATAGAGCAAAAATAGTGTCAAAAATCGGTCCCCATGTTAACAGATAGGGATTTTTTGGATTTTCGTGACATTGCAGTGACCTTGACCCTCTAAAAACTAAGTTAGATCATAGTCTAAATGTATACAAACTTTCGTATAAAAAAAAAAAAGAATTCAGCCGTTTCCGAGAAGCCTTACTGACAAACACACACAGGTGAAAACATAACCTCCGTCACTTTCGGTGGCGATGATAATTACGTTTGAGGTATTTAAAAAATCGTTTAATTCGGGCTATATCAAAGGAACTGTTACCGACACTCAATATCACTGTGCCACAAAGTTTCTGCTCTTTGTAGATTGTCATTTTTTAAAACCAAGATACGCTATACGTAATAAAGTGACCAGAAATAATTCCATATATATGCAACTGTTTTAAAGTGTTCTTATATATTTTTGTTCAAAGAAATTCACTGAAAAAATCAGGCATTATCATACAATGATATTATTTTGAACACAAGTTTATTTCGTTGATCTCCTGGGGTCTAGTGTGTACCCACCTTCCTTCCCTTCAACACAAAGTGCTCCAGACTAATACTGGCTCATCGAAACACCCCCAAAAGAACAAACCATGGATGACCTACACCTAGTGATGCTTATTTACTTTACCTTTAGCAAATTGGAAAAAGTGTATAGAAAAATGAAATGATCTTTTGATAGTTCCAAAATATTGGTAACATCCACCCCCTAAACGAAATCTTCATTATTCAAGTTGTGTATCAGGGAATCAGACTTTCATCCTCTGGTCCATTAAGTATAAATGATAAAATACTTATTTTTCTAGTTCAAATAAAACGTTTCAATTGCTTCAAAACGTTCAAACGTTTCTATTGTTGTGGTATTTACCACCTCATGTTTCTTTCGTAATATCTATATGTTTTTTTAGAAAAAAAAGATTAATAGGGCTCGAGAAATTCAATGTATAGTTAATTAACTGCTTTCATAGAGTTGTCACTTCTCAGGAAACCCGTTTTCATAGTGTTGTCACTTCTCAGGAAACCTGTTTTCATAATGTTGTCACTTCTCAGGAAACCCGCTTTCATAGAGTTGTTACTTCTCAGAAAACCTGCTTTCATAGTGTTTTCACTTCTCAGGAAACCCGCTTTCATAGAGTTGTCACTTCTCAGGAAACCTGCTTTCATAGAGTTGTCACTTCTCAGGAAACCTGCTTTCATGGTGTTGTCACTTCTCAGGAAACCTGCTTTCATAGAGTTGTCACTTCTCAGGAAACCCGCTTTCATAGTGTTGTCACTTCTCAGGAAACCCGTTTTCATAGTATTGTCAGTTCTCGGGAAACCCGCTTTCATAGTGTTGTCACTTCTCAGGAAACCCGCTTTCATAGAATTGTCACTTCTCAGGAAAGCTGCTTTCATAGAGTTGTCACTTCTTAGGAAACCCGTTTTCATAGAATTGTTACTTCTCAGGAAACCCACATTCATAGTGTTAGAGCATAACAACATCACTTAGCATCATCACTGAGCATCCTAATAACGGTAAACAGTAAGAAACAGAATTTAAAATATTTTATAGACAAATACAAAAAGAAGTAACGTTTTCCTAAGGAAGATATGCCTCCAGTGATAAGGATCATTTTGTTTTCACTTTCAGCAAGATGACTGCACCACTAGTACGGTATTTCTTGTTACGGCTTTTCAGTCAGTATACTGGACACAACTTTTTCTACCTGTATGCTAAATTTGTGGGAAAACGCCTGCTAGAATCTTAAAACAAACAATCGATACACGTAGCTCAGTAGTAAATCAACGTATTATATTACACAGAAAATAAGAGATCAAATCCATCTGGATACCTCGTCTGATTGGTCTTTTAGTTAATTTTGGAATTGAACTTAAACAGAATTTCGTGCATTTGCATTGCAATCTCCTTTACCAACACAAGGGCAGGAACTGGTTCTTTATTAGTAAGATATTAGAAAAATATTTTGGTAAAAAACACACCAGGGAAATGTTACAAGTTGTCACCCACGCCAGGGTTTATGTATGACCCTTACCTGTCACAATTAGCCTGAATAATACTTTTTCTGTGGGGATTTTTACCGTTTAGTGAGCTATTAAAAAAAATGGCGTTCGAACGTTAACACAATTTTATAAAATATACAAAATCGGCCATAAATCTACTTGTTACGGAGCCATGTGGATAAATTTGGTATCAAAATGTCTGGAATAAAGAGTCTGTGTTAACAGTAAACATATAAATCAAAAGTAAATCTAAACTTGGCAGGAACACACAAATGTTCTTTTGGTTTCATGCCCGAAAGCGTAAAATAGTTTCTAAAACTCCTTACATACACGACACATGCTGAAAAATGTTACACCAACATTATCCCAGTTCATTCCCAAACAAAATAACACCACGTTTGGGTACATAATGCAACAACATTACGAGTTCTGTTGATAAAGATGGCCGACGAAGCTTACATATCGCTGTAAGGCGGCTAAGTGCGGTACTTGCCCAAAAATGAACACCTACTATTCTGTGCGAAAGGAACACAGTCCAGCCAACACCTTAAATTCCAACCTTCGTGGCCGAACATTATTGATAGAAGAGTTCTATTCGCAGTAATCTATATATATATATATATATATATATATATATATATATATATATATATATAACGACACGATCG